AAAGAAAGAAAGAAAGAAAGAAAGAAAGAAAGAAAGAAAGAAAGAAAGAAAGAAAGAAAGAAAGAAAGACAACTAAAGCCAAGTTCGGCTGCAGGGACGTCAGAAAACACCCCTCACCAGCAGAGGATGGAAAGCACCCACCACCCCCACAGTTCCTTGCAGCTGCTGAGGCCGACGGGCTCCTCCCTTCCACGGCCACCCACCACAGTTAGCGACCCGGGTGCTCCGAAGCTTCTCCCTAACTCCGCTGAAGCCCCTCCATCCCCCCCCGCCCCTCTCGGCCTCTTCCACGGGAAACTCCCCTGGAGCCAAGAGGCCGCCTCAGAAGAAGAATCCCTCCCCCCACACCGCTCCTCCTCGGCGGGGCTGGAGGCGGAAGAGGCGCCCACCGGGACCCCCACTCACCAACTCATAGTTTCCCTTCCGGTCCCGCGCCTCAGCCGGAAACCGCAGCTCCTGGCGCTCGACTCTGCCTCCCGGACGTGACGTCACGGAACGGCGCGCTCGGCGACGACGTCACGCGCAGGCCTGGGGCGGAGGGGGCGTCACACTGAGAGGGCGGGGCGAGCGTGTTGCCTGGTTAACCCTTTCGGTGCCGCGTCGAGCGCCCGGGATGGCCGCTCGGGGGTTGCGGCGAGGCGCGCTTCCTTGCCGGGCGTGGAGGGAAAGCCAAGAAGGGGAAGGGGCAGCGATGCCCTGCTCGATCAAAGGGGAGGGGGGAGGCGGGAATTTTTTTCCGGGAAAAGCCGGGAATCTGTCCTCCTCCCTTGGGTTGAGTTGCTTTTCACGCCGCGGCGCTTTGCACGATTCATGTTGGTTTTTCAAACAAGCAAGCAAGCAAAGATCCCAAAGGTGCTTTCATTATTTCAAGAGACAACTGGACTTTCTGGTTTTTCCTTTGAAGACCTTTCGCTTCACATCCAAGAAGCTTCCTCAGCTCTGACAGAATAGTGGGGAATGGAAGGATTTGTATTACAACATGCAACATGACCAGCTGTCTGCAAGGAGTATAAATTCTTCCATTCCCCACCATCCCATCAGAGCTGAAGCAGCTTCTTGGTTGAGAAGTGAAACGTCTTCAAAGAAAAAACCAGAAAGTCCAGTTGCCTCCTGGAAAAAAAAANATAAGACCTCCCCAAAAAGAAGGCCAAGTGCTTATTTTGGGGGTCAAAAGAAAATAAGACCCTCTCTTATTTTCGGGGAAACATGGTGTGTAAGTCTTTAAGACATTCATTCAAGGCAATATTCTGTTTATTATTATTTTTTTAAGTGTGCCAAAATCACTTCCTTAAATGATCTATTGCAGCATGCTCTAATTTGATATGTAGGATTCTAGGAATAGAATTATTGTACTACGGAACTTCACAGGACTTTAGAAAAAAAATGGGCAGCTAAAGTTCTCTAATTAGAATTCCAGATCTACACCCCAAGAGATTAAAGATCAACTTTCTTTAATCTGGCATCCTCCAGATATCACTCTTGGCAAGGACATAGCTGCCTGATATGATTGGAATGATTTATCACTGTCTGTGTTTAACACGGTTGATTTGCAATCTCTTTCAAGAAGGCATAGATCCTCCAGTAAGATTAAAAAAAATTGTAAAAGCTAAAGATATACTAGAAAGGGTTGCCAGCAGATAATACAGCATCGATCACACACACATGCACACACGGACATACTTTAAGGTAGGGGGCTCCCAATCTCTGCATCTTTAAAATTTGTGGATTTCAACTTAACAATTTAAAACAATTTAACAACTGGTTCGTCCACCGCTGTGTAAGCCTATGTGCTATTGCTATTATTACAGGTTTTAAGGTATCAAATCACATCAATTAAAGTGTCCACCACATCCCCTTACCCATAAAGACCCAAACGCAGGGATGTTTAATATTATGAGCGCCATTTTCCCCTCAAAGGCAAATCGCACACAATTACCACTGGACTAGTTATTCCTTCAAGTTCCACGCCCTATAAATCGGCAATCCCTTCTGAGAAATGGCCTAGATACGAGGATTATCATGTGTAACATTCAAAAACCAATTCCAGGTAGTTCTTGACTTGCAATCATTCATTTAGCAACCATTCAAAGTTTAACAGCACTGTGGGGCAGGGGGGAATGTAACTTACAACTGGTCCTCACACTTATAACCATCACAGCCACAAGATCAAAATTTGGCTCTTTGGCCACTGACATATTTACAATGGATGCCGTGTCCTAGGGTGATGTGATCACCATTTGCAGCCTTCCCAGCTAGTTTCCAACAAGCAAAGTCAATGGGAGACACTGGATTCACTTAACCACACAATTCACTTAACTGCAGATATTGGCGTAACAACTGTGGCAAAAAACCCCAACCCCTCACACAATTGGGCACAATTCGCCTTGCTTAGTGACAGAAATTCAGAACATAACCCCATTGTTTGTTGTAAACCGGGAACTACTTGTAATCCCTGTTATCTTTAAATCTGTCCTGCCACTCACTCACGTCTAGATTAGGATTGTGTGGGGCAAAAAAGCAAACACAAATCTGTAGGCGAGTTAAAACAATAAAAACATTTCTTGTGTTCGGAACACAAGCGCACTGTGTGCTTACTCATAGCACACAACCTTTGTGTGATCTCTCTCTAGGTCACTGGAACTAAAAGTTTAGACTTATACTAACTTTATTGTCACTTTAAGTATAAACTAATCATCATACATTAAATGAAATTTTGTTTACTCCTGTTGGGGATTTTACCAGAAACATATAGTAAAGAAAATGTATATTTGATTATCTATGTAATAACTGCAACTAGAATTAGATTTGCACAAAACTGGAAAAGTGAAGAGATTCCTACAGAGGAGAATGTGATTAGGAAAATATTAGAATGTGCAGAAATGAACAGATTAACATTGGCAATCTAAGAGAAAGAACAAACTGATTACTATACTATATGGGAATAATTTTATTGATGGTTAGAGATAAATATAAGAATTAGAAAAGAAAGTAGATTGAAAATGTATTAATAGAGCTAATAGAGTTAAATAAATTAAGAGGATTGTTAGACACTTAAGAGATTGGCATTAAGCTAAGAATAGATTAAATAGTGAATATGACTGTAAATTTTAATTGTAATTGCACAAAACATTTGTACACAGATGACACACTGTTTAATGGAAGATGGATTCTTTGTATTAAAATAAAAAAAATACAAAAAAGATGAAATTTCATCGCATACAGATCTCTAATATGCACTACATAAACGTGACAAAAATATAAACAAAACAAATTATGCAAATACCCAGATATGACACAGAGACACAATACAGTCCAGTTCAGATGTATATTAATGTAGATGGCGAGAATAACGAATCTTGCCAGTTTTCTGGGCCATGCAGCTTATCTGAAGCAGCTGAAAAAACCATGGAACATCATATGAGATTTTAATATTACATCAAACAGGGATGCGGTGTTTGTTCCTCTTCCAATAATTTGTTCTTGCTTTGTAGTTTTGTTTAAGCAGCAACCCACCAAGGAAGTTACCTGGCCTGTGACACTAGGCAAAGCACAGGCCCCTTGGTTTGTTCAGCTGGTCCCTCACAAAGAACTGGGAAAGAAGAGGGAGCCCTTGCTAGATCATACAAAAGGGATCACTGCCCCGCATCTCTGAGCAGCCAAGTTAACAACTTCAGTGTCCAACTGACAAAGGAATTCTCAGAATGTTAGAAATGCTGATTTTAGTGAGACAGAAAAGTTCCAAACCAGGGGTGTGTTCTGATCTAGGGTTCCCTAGAGCAGTGTTTCTCAACCTTGGCAACTTGAAGATGTCCGGACTTCAACTCCCAGAATTCCCCAGCCAGCATTCGCTGGCTGGG